TCGCTTGTCTTTTGTAGCCACTGTCGTCCAGTCTCGGAGAAGCTGCGTTCGGTTCATATGCCAGTGGCTGAATTCCCCGCAAATCCGGTTCAGGTACGAACCCAACCGGCCTTTTTGATTAATCCATTCTCCTGAATGTGATCGATATCCTGTTCAAGATTGGACAAAAAACCCGTTTGAGCGGAAGATGATGCTTATCCACGAAACAAATGGAAACGACGATTGCCTAAATCACCTCTTCGTGGGAACTGCAGGTACACAGTGCCTAGCAACATCAGCCCCGTTACCCTTTAACACCAGAACCGATCTGAAACGGACAAAAGATCGGTTTTCTATACATATAAAGTTTTGAATACTAACAGGATATGACAAGAGGAAAGCAGGCATCTTTTTTACCCGACAGGAAGTGGTATTGCATATGAACCGGAGAATTCGCCAGCGCCCTCGACCTTGAGGTTTGCCCCGAACAGAATGTTGCACTCGCTGAGGAATGAGACGGTGCAGAATGGTCGGACAAAATCGTGGTTGTCGATATTGGATCCACCATCTCATGCTGGAGAATCCCAGGCGGGTTTCCGGATTTGTCCTGTCTCGAAATTCGAGGTTCTCGTTTTAGACAAGACTCAGCCCACAAGACCCGAAAAACAAGACATATAACAGATCAAGAAACTTACTGTTGCATAGTTGTAACAACAACCGAACTGAAGTGTCACACGTCCTTTGCCCCTCATCCACTTTTGCGGAGCAGAATACGTACGCTCTGTGGAAAGATACGAATACGAATACGATTCAAATTACATAAGTAAAGTAAGATATCTCGAACCGATAAGTGTATACATATGATGTGCTAAAACAAGAAACTAACCTTTCAATTCTCCTTCTCGGCCCTTCTCTTGCAGTTCATACACAAAATCAACAACCCTCCTCTGCTCCACGGCGCTGAAAACACCGGTATGAAGTTCGAGTCCCTCGAGGATGTTCACCGACTTCCCCCTAACTCTTTCCATACATACAAACTCTTTCATCCTCTTCACGTTCACGAGCCGTAAATACTCCCTCTGCTCCCTAGACAGCTTGGGCTTCTTAGGAATCCTTGAGTCTGTAGCATTACTACCTGATTCTGTTTCCCTCTGCTTCTCCTCTTCCTCAAGCTCATCCTCCTCCTTTGTCATGTCGGCCCAAGACATTCTGGTACTTGCTGTCTCGGCATAAATTGATCGAGAGGGCAATGCTCTTCTTGAAGATGCTTCTGTCACTGGTTCAGAAAATTTGTTTCCGCCATTATTCCACCGTCCAAAGGAACGAGTAACGGAGTCTCCACCGTACTTCCCATCATAATCATCATCCACAATGGCGCTGGTTTCTACAGTAGAAAACATCGCCGCTTATAAAGAGGTGAAAGTCTAAATCTTTGACAAATCAAACCCCAAAACAGAGCAATTTACAACAGAACTCATTTACCAGTTCAAGAAACATACTGATTACATAGAAATTAAGCTAAGCACTAAACCATCCAACGATCTTCCCACGTCTTATTCATCGCCAGACTACAACTTAGATTGATAATTCACTGCGATTATCAACCCTGCTGATTTATCAAGATTAGCCGAATCAAAGACAAGAACTTCAAGAAGGCAAACCATCCAAACGGGATTCATAAATAAAACCAGAACCTGATATAAAACAAGGCGACGACGAAAATCCGCCTTCCTCAATCGAAATCAAGAAACTTTCCTGTCGGACAAATGAGCGGATCCGACCCGAGAGAACATGCACGCAGTCCTTGCAAAGATCTCTGGAGAGGAAAGGGAGCCAAGAAGCCAGGAATTCCGACGCGAGTTTAAGTTCCGACGGCTGGTACTGCCGGAGAAAAGGGTCCTTGTCCATGGTTCGATCCTCGATACAAGTTGGATCTCCTGTTCGTTTACGGCTTACGCGCACGAACAGAACAGGAAACTGCTGCTGTGGTCGAGGTTTTATTTATAGTCTACGCGGCGGAATCCGATTCGTGAATGAATGCCAAGCTTTAGGGTACACTTGTTATTTAACAAAACAAGAGGGGGTAATATCGGTATATTAAAAAATGGGCCGACATGCTATTGGACAAGAAGGTTAGTACCGGAATTTTCGCAGACTGAAGAGGTAAAGCCCATGAGCCCATTTTTTTTGTTAAAACTAGGCCCAATTTATGCCTTTGTTGGGGCCCATTTGACATGTTTCTAACTTTGCCAATGCCTAATGGCAAAGTTTTATTTTTTGTTGTCAAAAGTTATAAACCGGGTGAAATTCGGCAGACCTACCACCGAACCGAGGTGAATAATTTCGGTTCAGTTTTTAATTTAAAGGAATATTTATTTATTATATAAAATCACATACACGAGTTTGAACTTTGAAATTACGAATAAAAAGGCAGCACCAGCAGAAATCAAGAGAAGAGAAAAAAAAAATAAAGGATAAAAAAAAGTAGATAGCGGCTAAAGTAAAGCTTGTTCTCCCGTTCCTGTCGTTTGCAATTTACGGTTCCGCCTTTGGTCCTCCCTCCAATCTCTCGCGCCAGCGGACGAGGAAGCTCCGTCGCTTTTCGAGCCGGGAGCGAATCCCGAAGTCATCCTCTCGAATTGTGAGGTTCCTCTGTTTTACGTGTAATGATTTGGTTCATCGCATTCGGATTTGTGCTTTAGCTCTTTCGATTTCCCGATCGGTTTCGATTTCTGGAAGGATTCGAGCTTGATTGTGACGATAATCATATGCTTTCTCATCAGAAACATTAGTTCTCTCGTTTGATTTTACAGGATTTTCTCCGTTTGTTTGGGTTTAATTCGATTTCAATAGGTCAGATGACTCTAGGTGTTTAATGAACAAAAAGGAAACCTGGATTCAGTTTACTTGTCCAATATTAGCCTTTGGAATCCATTGTTAATACAGTGCTCGTTTTGTGACCTTGTTCGACCGCGTTGCAGCTAATCAACCAACTAATTACCGTTTCCTGATTCCCTTTTGTTGATTGTGAAGTTCAATTAACATTGTCAGAAAAAGAATCCACACTGACACCATTTATGTTTCCGAACGAAGTTAGATCAATGGTTCTGGATTTCTTCTCCAGAGGTGGCGTTTGATGGGTTTCTTTGATTATGTCTTAACTAGTGTCTTTTGTCCTCGCTTGGTTAAATGGGCTCCAAGTTATCTGCGCCATTTTCCTTCACAATGCCGATTTCTGGTCCATGAGACTTGACACCTCGACTCATTCCACTGCATCACTATCATTTGTTACGGGTGACACAAGCTAGTCATGTCCTTTATTCAGGGTTTAGAGTGTCATAGTGGATTTAGTTCAGCTTCTAAGCTTCTTCCATTGTGTTGCAGAAAGAAGAGTGCTTCTTGTTAGGTCTGGTAAAAAAGATTGGGTATGGCTGGTCAAGAGGATGCTAATATGTCTAAGCGGGATTCCTTGCTGATGGAAACCCATGAGATGTGGAAGAGTGAGATGGAATCATATCGATCGCAGGTAGATAAGTTACAGGCTAAACTTATGGATGTAAAGGTTTCCATTGAGAGTTCAGAAGAAGATGCCGGAAAGGAATTGGCAGTTCTGTGGGGTGAGGTCAGATTAATAGCTACTATGCTGCATCATCTGAAATCCAAAGCTAGAATCATGGCTGTTCCTGAGTTAGCCCATCTGTCTTGTGTTGTTGAACAACTTGAAGGGGTAAGCCTTGTTGAGAAAGGCGATGCTCAACCTTCCAAATCGGCTACGGAAATTGATCTTTTGCCTTCTGATAGTCCAGGTGAAGAAACACAGACTGGTATCGGCAGGCACCCGAATTACTTGGATATAAAGGATAAAGTCTATGCTAATGTGATGCTCCAATCCATACAGATGGTTACTGACATGTTGGAATCTCTAGTGAGAAGAGTCACAGCGGCAGAGTCAGAAACCGTGGTTCAAAAGGAGAAGGTGCTTTTATGTGAGGAAGAAATAAAAAGGAAGGCCGTGCAAATTGAGAACTTGTCCTTGAAGTTAGAAGAGATGGAAAGATTTGCTGAAGGGACTAATAGTGTTTTAAACGAAATGAGGGAGAGGATTGAGGAACTGGTTGAAGAGACAACAAGACAGAGGCAAAAAGCTATGGAAAATGAAGAAGAGCTCTCTCGAGTTAAGAGAGAGTTTGAGTCACTCAAAAGCTACATTAGTACGTTTACCAATGTGAGAGAAACGCTTCTTTCCTCCGAGAGGCAATTCCAAACCATCGAGGTTCTTTTCGAGCGGTCAGTTCCCACGTACTCTATACACTTCTGTTTTGTTTTATTCTTCCGACCTCAACTGACTATAGCAATCACTCTTGTATGAACGATATTTACAAGCTCTTGCACGTTTTTTTTTTTGTCTGGAAGCAGGTTGGTAGCAAAGACAACGCAACTAGAAGGCGAGAAGGCGCAGAAAGAGGTCGAAGTGCAGAAGATGATGGAGGAGAATGTGAGACTGATGGCCCTTCTGGACAAAAAAGAGGCTCAGCTCCTGGCCTTGAATGAACAATGCAAATTTATGGCTTTGAACTCGTTGAACATATGAATTATAAAGTTTGCTTTGCAGAAGATCTTTGCCTCAGATGCAATTTTTCATGTATTCATTGTTTCAAGATCTGAAATTGTTATGCTAACTGTTTCCAAAGAGTATGGCTTTGTTGTATAAGCAACCAGAAGTTTATTTGGAGTTCCTGCCTTCATTTCTACAACTAAAGTTGAAACTGCATGGTGCTCAAGTGTCTATGTTACAGGCACCATGAAGTTTGGACACATGTGCATCTTCAGATGGAGCAGTGCGATTCTATCTACGCAGATTAGGGTTTGGTGATGTGTATATAAACTTGTTAATATTAGAGGCATATTCAGAAAGAAAAGATGACAGCTCATCGCCAAAGGGATCAATGGTATGGTAAGACATGTTTTGTCGAAACATGAATGCATGCATGATGTCATGTGTCATCTGACATGGCATCCTGAAAGAAAGCTCTTGATGCCTTCTCTTTTGTTTTTGTTTATAAATATAAAACAAACAACTGGTATTTGTGTTGATCATGTTTTCTTTCTGGTTTAGAAGGGGAAGGTAGAACAAGGAACAAGCAAAGGAAGATGCTTTTTCTGTGACATTGACAGGTACCCTTCTTGTTAATGTTCCATATGTAATGTCGATGGTCCTGACCTCTCGCTCTGATCGTTTTGGTTCATAGAACATGGGCGTCCTCCAATTTTTAGGCAATCACTAAAGCTTTGGCTCTCTTCTCTAGTCACTGTAGCGAAAGATAAACCTTAATGCTGATTTTGTAACGGACTTTTGTTGGTTGAAAGATTGTATATGATCTGGACACATGTGACATAGAACTGAAAGAGAAGCTTAGAGAGAGAGAGAGAGATCAATATCAAGAATCAATATGTTTGCTTTACTATCTGCCTTTGTGGCCTCAGAACATGGTGGGGGTGGGGATGAGTTACCACTAGTTATGGTAGCAATCCAAAAAGCAAAAACTGGTGGTTCAAAAAAGTTCATTGGAGGAACATATGTCTCTGCTCATTATGTGTCTTTAAGAGTTGCTGAGTTGTTGTTGTTGTTGTTTGCTGACTTGGTGATGTTTTTTTCAGCATTTTGGGGAAAAATACCACATGGGGTAATTCATTTGATTTGTTTCCCACAAACATTTTTGGGTGGGTGTCTGTTACTCTCTTTGTCTTTGTCTTGCTGTACTTTTGTAATAACTGAGAACCTATCTTCCTGCTTCTTTGTTTTTTTTTTTACTGAAATTTACAAACATAAAATGTTTAATATCTGACATGTTTCCTTTTCTTTTCTCCTATTTGGTGGGTGTGGCAGTGGATTTTCATTTTTGATATATTTTCATTTTCTATGTGGTTCAAACATATGTTATCTTTCCTCCTTAAATGTACTATGTCTAATCTGGTAGAAATTCTCTAACAGATATATTATTATTTAATGTCATAATCAATATAAGGTGTAATTGTTGTTTAATGTGAATGATTATGCTCAATAATTACAGATGGTCTAATATGCAAATAAAAAAAATATAGGAGTCAAATAATTATGAAGATACCATGAAGTATAATTTTATAATTCTGTATGAACAGATTTGGAAATAACACAAAACTATTACTATAAATAGGTAGTAGTGGTCCTTAAACTAAACGTATTGAAATATGTTAGCACAGTAGCACCAATTTATTGGCAGAATAATATTTGTTATGTGATAGTCTAAAAGACACTCTACCCACATTTTGCTATTTGTCAAACTATCATAGATTTAAAGAAAATTCTGTGTGATGAGTATGATGATAGGTCCATTAATATTTCGCATATAAACATTATAATATTTCTGTAAAATACTAACATAATTTAGGTAAATTAAGATAAAAGTTTTTAATATGTAAAATAAAAAAATGAAGAATTCGTGTTATTTTATTTTTGTATATAAATTACATAAATATGTATATATAATGTTTTCGATCGTTTTCTCTTGTTTAATATGGTCACATAGGTTTTTAGCTTGTTTTATATAAAAAAACAAATATTAGGCCAAAGTCAAAAATCGAACAAAGAAAAACAAAAACATGGACAAGAAAGGGAAGAGTTATGAAGAAGTAGGTCTATGACTATATATATATATAATATTTAACCAAGATATATATATAATAGTTTTTAAAGGACAGTGATTGGAGGAGATGATGGATCTTGTCTGAAAGCTTAGAGCCACAACAAAGAGCCAACCAAGTGTTTTTGTTCGGACGACCTGATTCCTACCGCTTTGTCCTGTGGTCCTCCAATCTTTATTCCACGCTGTATTTTTTTTTTCCATTACAAAGAAAAAATGAATCTTTACAAAAAAATCCGAAAACCCAACTTCCATAAAGCTTTCTATTACGATAATAGCGTTCAAAATATATACCTCTAACAGTTATTAGGGTTTCCTAATGATGGAATTTCGTCGATGCATGCCAACTATTTGGTAATCTACGTGTAACTCAAGTCGATCTCCATGGATTTTTGGCGTTATCCAAAAACCAAAACCCTAAGCCTTCGCTCTAATTATTTTCACGTGGGGATCGTATAAATCTAACTCATGCATCTTATTATTATTATTTTTTCTTATTTACTCCTAATTTCATGGTCCAAGACATTCATTCTTATCCTGTGACAGATAAAGACTAGATACTAATCTCAGTACCTAGTTCAAACATGTTTGTTATAAGTATATTCTAGCTTCTGTCTATTTTTCGTACGTATATGTATATATATACATATATATAATTCACTAGTCAATTTCTTAATTAATATTCTAGCTACCCTTTTAGTTTTTTTTGGTAAAAGCTACCGTTTTAGTTGTTATGCATGTATGTATATAAAATATAGGAATGTTATCCTTTATACTAGGTAAATTTTATAAACTTTTATCCAGTCATGATCTTTTTTTTTTGTTGTAAATGTGGTCATGATATTTTCTTCTCGAATAAAATTATTATAACATAACATTGTTGAAAGCACAACTCAAAACATAGTATAACAAACAACTTTTCAAAAATAGCTAGGGGCCTTTCACCAACAAAACATTAATTCAGTCACACGAAATCTAAAAGGAATCCTTTGATCGATGATTTTATGAAAATCTAGTAGTGATTATGATGACGAATTTCAAATACAAAAGAAAATATCGTTGTATATGTACATGTGGTCGAAATAATCATTAGTTGTTTGCATGGCCCATATTGTAGCAGAGAGAGAGAGAGAGAGAGAGAGAGAGAGAGAGAGAGAGAGGACATAACTCCTTTGTATATATATATATATATATATGTTTGTCGTGTCGTTTTGCAAGTACGTATACCGTGTAGAACTCTACTTGTCCGGACAATTAAATCATACACACATATTAAATGATGAATCAGTTGGGTTATAACTGGCACCGAATATTATTAACTGACCAAACATATTGTATTCTAAAGTTGGAAGTTTCATGCATGTAGAGACAAAGTTTAAAGAAGATGTTGTGCCCTGTCTGTGGCAAAAAAGCAGCCACTGCACTGTGCGAGTCCCTACGTTATTTATGAACCCTTTTGTTTTTTTGGCCGTTGTCTATTGGATCTCTTCCTAATTTCCTCCTGTTCCCCACATCCCACATGGATTCTGCCTTCACGCTAAGGATAATTTGTCCCTAGATTAGGCCTTTCTTTGACGTCATATTTAGGGTTTATCACTCATCATGTGTCACCTTTCTATATTTATTTGATCGGTACATGCATGTTATCCAATCAAGAAAATACGATGTTTTCGTTTATCAATCTAGATCTTTTTATGCATCGATCTTGGATATGCTTTTGGATAAGATGAACATGCATATCGCAATCGAGCTAATTTAATAATCACATATGTAAATGTACATGCATACGTATGCATGTGAACATGCATTTACATACACGATCCTTACGGGAAACACTCCATGTGGTTGTATGTGAATGAATCGTTTTATGTTTACGTACCGCGACCACTAGTGATTAATTTAGTCAAAATTACCTTGAATTATTAAATCTCCTCCCTCATCTCTTCTCTCTATTTATGCGCATAAATACCCCTCCATCTCTCCTTACCTCCCTCCACACACCACCTTCACCTCTGCAGTCTTCCTAAGATATCACCACATCTCTCTCTCTCTCTCTCTCTCTCTCTCTCTCTCTCTCTCTCTCTCTCTCTCTGTGACGTTCAAGAAAGAGAAATGGGGATAAGGAAATCGAGCAGAGCGAGTCAAGCGACGACTCTAAGACAAATCTTGAAAAGATGTTCGAGTTTGGGGAAGAAGAACCAAGGATGCGACCACTTACCAGACGACGTGCCTAAAGGCCATTTCCCGGTGTACGTGGGAGAGAGCAGAAGCCGATACATAGTTCCCATCCCGTGGCTCGCTCATCCTCAGTTCCAAACTCTTCTCCAACTCGCCGAAGAAGAATTCGGCTTCGACCACGACATGGTTCTCACCATCCCCTGCGAGGAAGTCGTCTTCCAATCCCTCATCTCCATGTTCAGATAGATCCATCACTCGGCACGTGTCCGTCTCTTCTATTCAAATAAAACCCGAACGTGAAAGCAGATCAAGAACTACGAACGACAAGAAACAAGAAACGAAACGCCGTCATAACTTGACACAGCAGAGCCTAAATCCCTTTGTGGAGATCGATGGCGAAGATGGAAGATGATTTCTGAGTTAGGAATCGACTCGCGAGTTATACGGCGTTTTCCTTTTCTGTAGATCCCGATTGGATTTCACACAATTTTTGTCGGGATCTCTTTGTTTTTTTTACAAAGCTTTTGTACGTATATTAGTTAGGATGGGCGAGTTTTCCCTCGAGTCAACCGTACTGTGACGTTGATCAGTGTTCGTCGAGACTCGAGAGGAATAGCTAGATCCCGTGTTTAATAATGAATCAAGAAACTCCTATTTGTTAGAATATTTTATAAATACTCGCAATTAATATGATTCAATATTGGATTTAAATCGTGGATTTTGTAACGTTAGCTATTAATAAGGCATAAATATGATCATTTATGAAATATGCCTAAAATCGTAATTTCGGTAAAGTTTAGGAGCTAATGTGCAGATACCGTTGTGTTATTTCCATTTCTTTTATGGGCGTCATTGGAAATAATAAGAAGTTTAATTTCTATAAATTAAAGGTTATGGTCCCTAGGTCACACACCAGTTTTCAGAATTCTTACCGCCCATATTGTGAGAATTTTTTCCTACTCGTGTGTTGATCTAGAAGATCACAATTCCCGATTATTGTTCAGACGCTACTGGATTCATTGCTGAAATGGATTCAGGTAAGACTCTATTCTATTTCATTCTTACATGCTACATGTCAGTTTTATGATGTATTTTCTGTGTATTTAGAAACACGGTATTGTTAAAATTGACAATTGGTATCAGAGCTTAGCATGTATGCTCGTATGAATGATGTTTTTTTAATCGAATTGTTTGCAGTTTTTCCTGTATATTGACATGTTTTTTTAAATACATGTATACTGTTTAATTTAATCATGCACGATTGTGTATATTTATTATATATATATACATTGACAATTCGCTACATGTTTAATATATGTATGCTTGTGCATGAAATTCAGTTTGGTATATATGCATACTGTATATATATTGGTTTGTATATCATGTTTTATTTTGAAGTGATTGTCACGATCATATACAGTGTCCGGATTCATCTCTACAGAAATTAAAAAAAACAAATAAATATTCGATCAGTAATATTCATTTTATTTTTGGATATTTGTTTTTTAGGCTAAATCTGCAGATTTGGAAATCTATCAATTCGTTACATTTTTTTAAAAAAACGAAAATTTAGCTTTTGATTATGGGCATAAATCTAGAATTAAATATATGATCTTGATATTTATGTTCTAGAGAATTCAGTTTCAAATGAGATTTGAAAACGTATTCGTTTTGATTTAATTTCATTATGGGCTTGACCCATTAATTTTCATTATTGTATATATATATATATATATATATATATATATATTTAAATAAGAGAATATGTTTTGAATATATGACATAAAAGTTTTCGTACATTTTGATATAATTGGGCTTGGCCCATTAGTTTTTTCTTTAATTATTATATATGTATATAAATAAAGGAATTGGGCTTGAGTCCATTACTTTAAAAGGATTATATATGTATATGATTGAAATTGGGTTTGGAGACAGATTGTGACCAGTAAATCATGACAATTATACCAAAGTATATTGATTTGCATGTAATACAACTGTTATATATATAAGGGCAGAAAAGTTTTTCATATATATATATATGTATTTGAATAATGCTATATTATTCGATTAATATTCTATTCGATTAATTTGAGACATCACCTTGCCAAAGTAAGCTCTGATGTCACAAATTAATTCATTCGGATAATATTATAAAAAATATTTTTTATGTATAAATTTCATGCGGAAAATTTACCGGCCCAAAGGAATGAAATTTTCTGGCAGAAATTTATTAAATATATTAAATAATAAATCAGAATATCATAAATATTACATATGATTATTGAATCGACCCAAAGGAAGGTTCAATAGATTATATGAGATATTCATGATTTGATTACTATATCGAATATGACACTTACAAGTTGATTTTCGATCCAAAGATAGAACATCAATGTTGTATGGTGTATCATATGTGTTGTCATTATTTACATGAAAGACTATTTTTTTTTCTCTCTTTTTCATTCAGCTATTGCTACCACCGCAAACATTTCAGCTTCGCTGAATTCGGTCCCGATGCTTACGGGAAAAAAATTTTAAGGCATGGAAAGAGAACCTCATGATAGTTCTCGGTTGTATGGATCTGGATTTGGCCATGCGTGTTGTTGATGCTCCCGCTGATCTTACACAGGAAAGTACCGATGATCAGAAAAAGGAACGTGAACGTTGGGAGCGTTCCAATTGCATGTGCCTTATGATCATGAAGCGTACAATTCCAGAGGTTTTCCGAGGTTCCATCTATGATGATGAGAACGCAAGTAAGTTCATGAAAGCAGTATCGGCTCGTTTTGAAAGAAATGAGAAGCAGGAAACAAGCTCGCTTTTGATGAAACTTATTTCCAAAAGGTATAAGGGAAATAAGAACATTCAGGAATACATTATGGAGATGTCTGATCTTGTTTCACAGCTCAAGGCACTCAAGATAGATTTGTCAGATGACTTACTAGTGCACTTGATATTGTTGTCTCTTTCTATACAGTATGGATCCTTTAGGATCATATACAACTGTCAACAAGCCAAATGGTCTCTTAACGAGCTCATTTCGCATTTTGTGCAAGAAGAAGAGCAATTGAAGCTTGAAAAACCTTAAAATGCTCACCTTGCGGTCTCTAGAAAGGACAAAAATAAGAAACGTCATCAGAAAAAGGAAAGTGATGATGGTCCTGTCAAGAAGATGCAAAAAAAGCAGGATAAGAGTGGTGTGTACTTCTTTTGTAAGAAGATGGGACACATGAAGAAGGATTGCACTGGCTATCATGGTTGGCTTGCAAAGAAAGGTAAACTTCTTACTTTGGTTTGTTCTGAACTTAATTTAACTTCTGTACAACGATACACTTGGTGGATAGATTCTGGTGCTACTACTCACATAAGTGTATCAATGCAGGGTTGCCCAAGCCATCGGAAACCAAGTGATGCTGAAAGATTCATCTATGTTGGCGACAGGAATAAATTGAAGTGGAGGCTATCTGCATTTTTAGATTATTATTGAGTTCTGGTTTTTATTTGGATTTGGATGAGACATTTGTTGTACCGTCATTTAGACGGAATTTGGTTTTTATTTCTACATTGGACAAATTCGGTTATTCTTGTTCCTTTGGAAATGGTTTATTTCGTCTTTTTCGTGATTCAAATTTACTTGGTACTGGTACTCTCTCTAGTAATGATAATCTATATGTGCTTGATACAATCACTTCATATTATGAAACCTTGCATGTTAAAACCCATGGTACAAAGAGAAAATTAGATGACAAGATTTCTACAAATTTATGGCATAAATGATTAGGTCACATATCCAAACAAAGGATAGAACGCTTAGTTGCAGATGAAATTCTTGACATACCCGACTTAACACATTTTCAAGTTTGTGTTGAATGTATTAAGGGAAAACAAACAATCCAAAGACGGTTAGGTGCAAACAGAAGCAATGATGTCTTAGAACTAATACATACGAATATTTGTGGACCATTTCCAACGGCATCATGGAATGGTCAACAATATTTCATTTTGTTCATAGACGATTACTCAAGATACGAATACTTGTACCTAATACATGAGAAGTCTCAAGCTTTGGACATGTTTAAATCCTATAAAGCTGAAGTTGAGAATCAACTGGGAAAAAAGATTAAAGCAGTAAGATCCGATCGTGGTGGCGAATACTATGGTCGCTATGATGGATCTGGTGAACAACGTCGGGGTCCTTTTGCAAGATTCCTTGATGAATGTGGAATAGTACCTCAGTATACCATGTCTGAAACTCCAAGTATTTATGGTGTATCTGAACGTAGGAACATGACTCTTAAAGATATGGTAAGGAGTATGACAAGTCACTCTACATTACCAGAGTCATTATGGGGAGAAGCGATTAAAACCGCTGCATATATCCTCAACAGAGTTCCTACAAAAGCAACTAAAAAGACCCCTTATGAGCTTTGGACGAGTAAGAAACCAATTCTAAAGCATTTACATGTATGGGGTTGCCCAGCAAAAGCAAGGCCATACAAGCCATTAGAAAAGAAACTAGACCCGCGTACAATAAGTTGCTATTTCGTTGGGTATTCAGAAAAATCTAAGGGGTACAAGTTTTATGATCCCAAAAACAGATCGATATTCGAAACTGGAACAACCCATTTCTTTGAGAATGTTGAGTTTGGGAGTAGAGATAAGGTACGAGAAGTTGCATTTGAGGAAGAATATGTCCATCTTCCCATAATAATTGGTCATGATATAACACATCTACATCAATCGGACAACATGCAACTCCCCGCACTGATTCAGGACCGGATGAACCAATTCAAGAGGTTATTCCGGATGAACAATCTCAACAACCCCAAGAACAATTGCCATCAAGAAGGTCAACTAGAGTAAGGAGAAATGCGATTCCAGACGATTATGTCGTATATCCCCAAGAGCATGTAGAAAATGTTGGATTATTAGAAAATGATCCAATAAATTTTCGTCAGGCTATGCAAAGTTCAAACTCTCAAAATTGGCTTGAAGCCATGAATGAAGAGTATAAATCCATGCAAGACAACAATATCCGAGAACTTGTTCCATTACCTGAAGACATCAAACCCGTAGGTTGCAAATGGATATTTAAAACCATACGAGATTCTAAAGAAAATGTGGATAAGTATAAAGCTCGTCTTGTAGCAAAAGGATTTACACAGAAAGAAGGAGTTGACTATAAAGAGACTTTCTCTCCGGTATCTTCGAAAGACTCGTTCAAAACAATAATGGTACTTGTAGCTCATTATGATTTAGAGTTACATCAGATGGATGTAAAGACAACGTTTCTTAATGGAGATATTAATGAAACAATATATATGACACAACTAGAAAACTTTGTGATTGGAGATTCAAAGGAAATGGTTTGTAAATTAAAGAAATCCATCTACGGGCTTAAACAAGAAATCCATCTACGGGCCAATGGTATTACAAATTTCGACAGATCATTTGTTCATACGGTTTTGAGACAAATGTTGTAGAAGAATGTGTATACCAAAGTTCTGTTGGAGTAAGTTTGTCTTATTAATATTGTATGTCGATGACATATTGATTGCCTCTAATGACATAGGGATATTAAATGAGACTAAGGTTTTCCTTTCAAAGAGCTTTGAAATGAAAGTTTTGAGAAATGCCGCTTTTGTATTAGGAATCCAAATACATCGAGATAGAGCTCGAGGTATACTCGGGTTGTCACAAAAGAACTATATGAAAAGATATTAATGAGGTTTGGGATGAAAATTTGCAAAGAAAGGAACACCCCTATTGCTAAAGGAGACAAATTTTGTATTGCACAATGCCCAAGAAATGAATTTGAGCAAAACCAGATGTAAGAGATTCCTTATGCATCGGCTGTAGGAAGTCTCATGTATGCTCAGGTGTGTATGCGTCCGGATATTGCGTATACAGTTGGGATGTTGGGAAGGTATCTACATAACCCAGGGATGGATCATTGGAAAGCAGCTAAACGGGTTTTGAGATACTCACAAAAAACCAAACATCACATGTTAATTTACAGAAAATCAGAAGCTTTGGAGATCATTGGTTATACAGATTCTGATTTTGCTGGATGCCAAGACAGTCGTCGATCCACGTCTGGTTATGTTTTTCTGTTAGCTGGTGGAGCTATATCGTGGAAAAGTGTTAAACAAACACTCACGACAGCTTCAACTATGGAAGCAGAATTTATAGCATGTTATGAGGCATCCAATCATGGAGTATGGTTGCGAAATTTTGTCACATGGCTGCGAATTATGAACAAAATAGAAAGATCACTTCGGATATACTGTGACAATAAGTCAGCGGTTATATACTCCAATAACAACAGGAGTTCTTCTAAGTCAAAGCATATTGACATAAAATTCCTGGTTGTTAAAGAAAGGATACAGAGTAGTAAGATAAGTCTTGAACACATTGGGACGACTTCCATGATAGCGGATCCGCTTACTAAAGGTTTACCACCCTCGGTCTTTATTGAGCATGTTGCTCATATGGGTGTACTATCATTTGATGATGTATAGTTTAAGTGGGAGTTATGTGTTGGAAAATACTAAAGTAAAGTTTTCTGCAGAAAATAAAGTTTAAAAGTTTTAGTTTCTACTCTGAAATGTTAAGATCTCCATAAGGTTAAAGAGGACCAGTTGAAAATACACACGTATAGATCACTTATCGTGTAATTTTCATGCTGCATACCTAAGCTTTGATCTACGTCATTGGATTTGTTAATATATGTGATCTTAGAAGGTTTAGTCGTGCAAAATATGAAAAAAGCTACTAAGGTCCTATATTATACGTTCAATGAACCAGATTGATGAAATTACGAAATAATAGCATGTTGTTGAACTCTCTAAAGATAATCCAAAATCACATATATTGAATCAAGTGGGAGATTGTTAGAATATTTTATAAATTTCGCAATTAATATGATTCAATATTGGATTTAAATCATGGATTTTGTAACGTTAGCTATTAATAAGGCATAAATGTGATCATTTATGAAATATGCCTATAATCGTAATTTCGGTAAAGTTTAGGAGCTAATGTGCAGATACCGTTGTGTTATTTCCATTTCTTTTATGGGCGGAATTGGAAATAATAAGAAGTTTATTTTCTATAAATTAAGGGTTATGGTCCCTAGGTTACACACCAATTTTCAGAATTCTTACAGCCCATATTGTGAGAATTTTTTCCTGCTCGTGTGTTGTAGATCACAATTCCCGATTACTGTCCAGACGCTATTGGATTCATTGCTGAAATGGATTCAGGTAAGACTCTATTCTATTTCATTCTTACATGCTACATGTCAGATTCAGGATGTATTTTCTGTGTATTCAGAAACACGGTATTGTTAAAATTGACACTATTCTCTTATGTCTATGCGCCATATCATCTCATTCTTCCAGCAGTTTTATAATCTTATATATATATATGTAATGATATATATATATATATATATATATATATTAACTGGCATTATATCAAAAATACCCTTATTTTGCTATTCTTACTTCAACACATACATTTCTCTAATTGTGACCATGTGACCAATATGAACCAAAATATAGTGTGGTCACATTTTGATGTAATTAATTATAATGTTAAACTTACGGTAATCTCACTAATTTATTATGTTCATACCTTGCATATGTCATATCTTACTAATTATTTGATTAAAATATTATAAATTTAATATTATGAGAAACGAGATCAACATGTTACTACACTATATTTAGAGTCATATGGTCAGATGTTCATAGTTAGAAAATGGTATGTGTTGAAGTAAGAATAGCAAAATAAGAGTATTTTTGATAATGTCCCATTTAAACTTATATATGGTATAGTATGTTTTTAACGCAAACTTCAATTAAAGCACGAGTACATGATCCGGTTCGATTTCGAAGAGCCTTATGAACCAAATCCAATCTCACATACAGGGCTCATTAAGTAACCATCAATTAATTTACGGCCCATTAAGTAACCATCAATTCACTTATGGGCTATTACTGAGCCAACATTAAAGGCCCACTAGGGTTAGGGCGCCAAGACAGACACAAATTCGTGATTGGGTATAAAAATCGGTCAAAACCCTAGCTTTTCATTTCTCTCTCCATCTCATTACTCAGCTTCTCTCGCCGTCGTCGATACCATGGGTCGTGTCATCAGAGCTCAGCGTAAGGGTGCGGGTTCCGTCTTCAAGTCTCACACCCACCACCGCAAAGGCCCGGCGAAGTTCCGTAGCCTCGACTTCGGGGAGCGCAATGGCTACCTGAAGGGAGTCGTCACCGAGATCATCCACGACCCGGGCCGTGGCGCGCCTCTCGCTCGTGTCGTTTTCCGACACCCGTTCCGTTATAAGAAGCAGAAGGAGCTCTTCGTCGCGGCCGAGGGCATGTACACTGGTCAGTTCGTGTACTGTGGTAAGAGGGCATCACTCATTGTCGGAAACGTCCTCCCTCTCAGATCTATCCCCGAGGGAGCTGTCGTCTGCAATGTGGAGCACCATGTCGGTGATCGTGGTGTTTTCGCTAGGGCTTCTGGTGATTACGCCATCGTTATTGCTCACAACCCAGATAACGACACCACTAGGTTTGTTTCTATGTCCCTTCATTCCTGGTTGTTAGTGTGCTATTGGTTTGGATTCGCTGATTGTGTCGGAATTTGGTTGGGGTGTATCGGGTTTTTGGAAATTATATGATTAGGAACATTTCCGTGATTGGTTGTGCTGAATTGTGCTGGTAGATTTGAATCATAGTGTTTTGTTCTTCTTGCCAAGATCCTGCTTTTACAGCTAATGATGCCACAATTACCCTGCTCTTGATCTTACATCGAGCAAATACAAGAACCATACCTTTTTGATTCAATCTGTATTTTTGTATCATTTAAGTAATGGGTTTTGTCAGATTCATAGCAAGAACTTGCTGTTGCACATAAAGATGGTGACTTGTCGGCTCTCTTTTTACAGAATCAAGCTTCCATCCGGTTCCAAGAAGATTGTGCCGAGTGGCTGCAGAAGAAAAGCCACTCCTTAAGGCCGGGAACGCATACCACAAGTTCCGCGTGAAGAGGAACTGCTGGCCGAAGGTTCGTGGTGTGGCAATGAACCCAGTCGAGCATCCCCATGGAGGAGGTAACCATCAACACATTGGTCATGCCAGTACCGTCAGACGTGACGCTCCTCCTGGACAGAAGGTCGGTCTTATCGCCGCCAGGAGAACTGGTCGTCTCAGAGGTCAAGCCGCCGCCACTGCTGCCAAGGCCGACAAATAGATATACATGTTCACGTTTTTTTTCGTTCGGTCTTTGTTCTGTGATCCTGAGATTACTGTTGAAACACGTTATGCATTTAAGATTCAATGCCAATGGTTTTTTTTTTACAATATGGTTATGGTCGTTAATTGCTATGAAAACTGTCGGATTCCTTTGAAATTAAAGCAAAGCTTTGGTATTTATATTGGGCTTTGATGGGTTTTTTAAAAAAGCCCATGGAAATTACTTGGCGTGGCATTTTCGATAATAAAGCCTTCAAATGCGAGCGATTTCAAGTTCTCTTCCGCAGATCCGACCCGTAATCTCTGGGGGTGAGACACCAAAACGGCGATGGCGGCTTCCTCGCACAAGATCCATTTCTTCATTCCGTTGGCAAATCTCGTCCTTCTCCTCACCATTTCTCTGTTCGACGATGCCCAATCCATCCGTATATCGGGTCGGATCTCGGAAACGGCCGTGGATTCGTCGGATCGTCCGATTATGACGGCGATTTTCGCGCTCGGAAGCTTCTGGCGGTCGGAGGCGGCTTTCGGATGCGTGGACGGAGTGGTACGGACATCCGTTGGCTACGCTGGCGGAAACAAGGCGAATCCAGAGTACAGGAGCTTGGGAGATCACGCCGAGTCCGTACAGGTTCTTCGCTTCTTAGATCTCTAGAATGCCATACGGGGAGCACCCCAAGCTTGATGTGACCAGTCATAAAGATTATGCTATAACTCTGAATTAGTTGATACTTTTGATTTTATGGCGTTTGTGAATGTATCTACTTAGCAGTGATATTGTGGATGTGGACATGGTTAGTTCTGTTGAAGGCGAATCATTTGAATCTGAAGAAACATAGTGGTGATGATGGTCTGATGTTCGACGTGCTTGATAGTTTTGCACATAATGCAAAATGGGATCTTTAGGCAATGAACGGTACTTCATTCCAAATCCCATGTTGATTTAGCATCCGCATGTATGATTATTTTGTAGTGTATTATGATTAGATTACAGCAAGAGTATTGATCTCATTTCATATGTTCTGTAATGGTTATGCATCCGCCTCCATGGCCAAAGCTTCTGAGGCGGTGAATAACAATTATACTTGGCCGTTTTCTGAGCCGTCCTTGTCTTGACAATGTGCTACAATGCTCTTTTTATCATGAAGATGTGCTATCGTTTGACGGGCTGCTTTCAGTTTCCAATCCTCTAGGATTGTGCCTGTTTTTCTTTCCAGACTGTTGATATCTCACAGATGATTATTCCGGTCATGCCACATGACTTCTATGCAGGTTGAGTATGATCCAAGAATCGTGAGTTTCCGGCAACTCTTAGATGTTTTCTGGTCTAGTCATGATTCGAGGCAGGTGTTTGGGCAGGGTCCTGATGTTGGTAACCAGTACAGGTATAGAGCAACAGCCCCTACAGGCTGTTTTCTTGCATGGTTCATCGCTCTGTCTCATCTTATAACCGAGTCATTGATTCCTTAACAGGTCTATAATCTTCACAAATTCTACGGAAGAGCAGAGAATGGCTTCCGCTAGCAAAGAGAGAGAGCAACTCAAATCGAGGGGCAGTATTGTGACTACTCAAATTCAACAACTGGGAACGTTCTACCGAGCAGAGGCTGACCATCAGGTTTCTTAAAAACTTTTTGAGTATCCATTCTTCTTATTGACTCCTCAACAGGTAATTTTCTATCGGTAACTTGTGATTAAACAACGATCTGTGATATCGAATATGCAGAAATTCGAGCTGAAACAACATCCATTCCTTCTTCAGCTAATGGGAAACATGCCAGAAGAAGAGCTCGAGAGATCAACCCTTGCCTCGAGACTAAACGGTTACGCAGCCGAGCTCTGCCCTCCCAGAATTCAGAAGCAAATCGATTCCAAAGTGAACGAGATCATCAGAAAAGGCTGGCCAGTCTTGAGAGACATATAGCCGAAATCTTCAATTCAAAGCTCACCTCATATATTAAGTGGTTTTGTTCATTCTTTGCCCCACCAATTCGTTGTATACTTAGTTTAGATTGCAATTGGAAGGACATGGGGAGACATTACATCTCTTTGACATGAGGAAGTGATGCTGAAGCAGAGGCTTTTTCAGTGTGTGTTATGTTACCAATGCCAATGATGGTAACTAGTAAAATGTCATTTCCTTTGATAGTTAATCAAGGAGAGACTGATCAAGCAGAGTCATAAAACGTTAAATATCTGGGTCCAGTTTAAATTAGTTTTTTGTATAATAAATAATTGGCATATGATTAATGAGGTAAACAGGAAAAGTTTGTTAATTTCGAGGATGGATTGTTAAAATGCAGAGGAGGATGCATAATTACTTCAGTAAGAATGTAATTAGAGATGATTTAAAAGTTAATTAAACAGTAGGCCGTCAATAATCGATTAATCAATAATTAATCACCCATATAAGATGGCGTCCCGTGAAAGTCTGGGGGTGTACGGAGTTTCTTTCTCTCTCTCTCTCTCCACAAAGCTGTGAGATCCAGATCGGAAACGGAAGAAGGATTCGCTCTTATCGGAATATCGCACTGCGGAGAGACCAAAAGAGAAGGAGTACCGGAACAGGCACCATCACCACCATCATCGGAAGAAGAGCAAAATGGCGGCGAGAGACCAGGTTAGGGCTTCGCACATACTGATAAAGCACCAGGGATCTCGGAGGAAAGCGTCGTGGAAGGATCCGGAGGGAAAGATCATCATGTCCACCACCAGAGACGCCGCCGTCGAGCAGCTCAGATCGATCCGCGCGGACATCGTCTCCGGCAAGGCTAACTTCGAGGAGGTCGCGGCTCGTGTCTCCGACTGCAGCTCCGCCAAGCGCGGTGGCGATCTCGGTCTGTTCTCTCGTTGCCCCTTCTCTCTCCTTCGCGTTTTCTCTTCCTTCGTTTTAAAAATTGACTTAACCATTGATTGATCGGTGATTTCGCAATCGGAGGAGTTAGATCGGTGAGTTTAGGGTTTATGTGGTTCATAATATAGAATCAAAATCCAATTCTGGACACAAAATAAGGAGCTATGGAGGAACAGAAAACGCTCGTAGACATGAATCCGGTGACGTACATGATGTAGGAAATGCCATTAGTCAGTACTCAGTAGGTTGGATATTATCAGACGATATCGGAGAAGCAAATGAGAATCGCCAAGAGAGAGAGAAAGTCTATGTAGATAGAGAATGACGAGAGAAAATGAAAACTGTTATTCTGTTTCTCTCTGTTTTCTGTGTATACACATTACTGAGTATAATACAAATTACATCTTTAGCCTCGTAGAAATACTGTGTTATATCTTATAGATATCGAGGCAGTGAATTTTGCTCAAATCAATTGAATATCAATTTTGATTGCCAATTTAAAGAGGGCATTATCAAAAATACCCTTAATTTGCTATTTCTACTTCAAGACCTACCCTTGTGACCATGTGACCAATGTGACCGAAATATAGTGTGGTCACATATTGATCCCATTGTTCATAACGTTAAATTTATAATGTTTTAATCAAATGATTAGTAAGATATACAAGGTATGAACATAATGAATTAGTGTGATCACTATAAATTTAACGTTATAATCGATAAAAATCAAAATGTGACCATACTATATTTCGGTCACATTGGTCACATGTGACCAGGGTAGGTCTTGAAGTAGAAATAACAAATTAAGGGTATTTTTGATATAATGCCATTTAAAGATCATATTATGTAGGTAGATTTTTCTTATATTTCCCATCCATTTTCTATCAAATATACTTGTAGTCAGACTTATGTTATTGAGGGTTTGTTGTAAGCAAAGAAGAAGTATAGTATGGATGTTTCATGGTTTTACTATGAAGCAAACGTCATGGTTTGATGAAGACAATCCAAATTTACGAATGGAAAGACTATAGATTCGTTAAATCTTATTATCGTATGTTACTGTGCAAGGTTTTTAGGACCCTTTGGAAGAGGCCAGATGCAGAAACCGTTCGAGGAGGGGACATACAGTCTAAAAGTGGGCGAGATAAGCGACATTGTCGACACCGACAGTGGTGCCCACATCATTAAGAGAACCGCCTGATCTTGAATGCTCGAGTTCCTCGTATGAAGCCCTCAATAGCCTCTTCTTCAAACTGGAGGGAAAATGGAGCATGATCCGGTGATTGTTCCTTATTCAGTGATTCGATTCTGCATCTGTCTATGCTGTTAAAAAACCATATACTGATTCCTGTCTTGGGATTGCCTGATAATGCATCTTGGTAATGTATACTGGGATGATGGTTGATCCTCCCTTGAATCTGTTCTTATTTAATAAGTTCTTGGTGACAGTGAAGACCCCAACAAGTTATATGCCCAACCATAAGGTTTTAAACCCGGAGACAGAGAAGAACATTGAACTGAGCTAACACATCAGGAGAGCTCGGTCTTGACATGACATTGCCTCCTCGTCCATTGGAACTCACCTTTTGTTGTTCTGTACCTATGGTTTGGCGAAAACATGTCCTGCCATACCTTTGGTGGGTCATTCCCTCTGGTTTCCCCTGTTTTCGTTGAGCTCTGGATCTATAGTGTAAGCGATATTCCTGGAAACACTACCGAGTCCACACTTCAATGGTAAATGAAAAGGCTATGGATTCTTGACCTTTTGATGTTACCGAAGCTTGATGACAGTTTTGTAGCAATTCTAAAGACTAGGACAAAACAATGGGCTTTGTCTCGTGAACACTAACAGAGCCGCCGCCATATTTGTTGGTTTCTATGTCAATCTGGACAAGTGAACATCTGAAACAGAGACAAAAAAAAAAAAAAAAAAACCAAAAGCTCAAACCTTTTGCCTTCATCAATGGCTTGGTTCCAAGGCAAATCCCAACCATTTTGCTCTGTTTCATTTGGGATGTTACCCTTTCGCAATGCTCAATGCTTCCAGGATTTTCAAACCCGGTGAAAAAGGCAAACAGCTGATGCAAAATCGAGTCTCTAGACTCGACAGAAAGCACAGCACCTTTAACTGTTTCATCCCGTTGGCACTGTGAACGAAGGTTGCCACGCTGTGACCCATATAAATAATGTGTAAAATATAAGCGGCGAGTGTCTGAAACCAATTTGACTCGATCTAGAAGTTTCCGACCTCGTTCATCCTACACGTGTACGTTCTCGATTTCTCCTTGTCCACGCTGGCTATCCCATGGATTTCAGACGGACCTGTAAGATTGCGACAGGTGTACTTCCCAACCGCTATATATACTGTTAGATGAAGTAGCGCCAACAATATCAGACCACAAGGTCAGAGGAAATCCATCCTTTGTAATGGCCGACAAAGAGGAGATCGAGTCTCAGCAGCCGCCGGATCCTGCGAGGGAGGAGAAGCCGGAGACGGCGGAGGTGGAGGAGAAAGAGGAGGAGAAAGAGAAGGCGACGAAGGAGAAGAAGCCGCGGAAACCGAAAACCGCCACTCATCCTCCCTACTTTCAGGTTTCGCATCTCTTATGATCTTTGGTCGATGGTTGTTGCTTCCATTTTTGTTCGAAAGATTGAATTTTTATTGAGGGGTTTTTGCTTTTGGGTGGATTTGCAGATGATAAAGGAGGCTCTGTTGGCTCTGAACGAGAAGAGCGGGTCAAGTCCGTACGCCATAGCCAAGTTTATAGAAGGAAAGCACAGGTCCGTACTTCCGGAGAATTTCCGCAAAACCCTAGCTCTGAAGCTCAAGAACTCAGCCTCCAAAGGGAAGATCGTGAAGATCAGAGCTTCTTACAAGCTCTCATCAGAGTCAACGAAGAAGACGAGATCCGCAACCGCCATGACGACTCGGCAGAAGGCGAAGAAGAAACAGGAAGAGACGAAGACGACGAGGAAGAGAGCTCGCTCTACCTCGACAAGGGCAAAGACGATGTCTCTGAACAAACCGGAAGTGGCGACGAAGAAGAAGAGAAGTGGGACGAGGAAGGCGAAGCCTAGGCAACCCAAGTCCATTAAATCACCTTCTGGTAAGAAGGCCATGAAAGCTTCTGCTTCCACCTAAAGAAGAAGTTGTAGTTTTCTTTTGTCTTCTGTGTATATATGTATATATAGGTGTGTTTAGTGTGACTGTTGTCTCTTCTTCGGATGTGTCTCTTTTGGCTGTGGGAGTGAGGTTAGAGAACCTTCATGTGTAACCTCTGAAATAATCATGGTTTAATAAAAATGACCTACTCTTTCTGTGTTGTATTTTCTTGGGTGTTTTCCTTTTTGTTTTAAATCTCAATCCATTCCATGGTGAATTCGCCCCACGGCTGTTAACCGTGGTTAAGTGTGCCGTTAATTGGGGTTAACAGACTAATACACGCTTGAGCCGTTGGTACTATTTTCGAAACCAGGGTTTAAATTAATGGGGGTTAATCAACTTAATTATATCTTAACTGCTTGATGATCTGAGCTGTCGACAAATTCCCATGCTGATGTCGACATTGTTGCGTATTTTGGGCTTTGGGCCCATTCTGGCCCATTCCGGTCATAACCCAATTTTGTTTATTGCACCTGGTGGACAAGCCCACCTCGATATACAAGATGTGTTTATTATTATTCGGTTTTAGTTTTTTTAATTATTATTATATCATTAGTATCTCTTTCATGGAATTAGAAATTTTATTAAAAGGGCTCATTGGATGATTAATAATAACACAACCATTGTTTCAGTCAACGTATATGTGACAAATATCTGACCATAATCTTAGGAAGATAAGCTTATAAATCCGGTGACTGGTCAGCTTGTCCATGCATCCAGACATCATCATTCATTGCTTTCTCTGTTTTCCAGTTGAATTTACGACAAACTCCCAAAGAGACAGCACATGACGTGGACATTTCTGACGTTGACTTGGAAGTCAAACAGTTGGCTTTGTCAGCTGTCTCTTAATAATTGCTATTTTTTAGAAGATCGGTTCAATTTGTTTTTAGGTTTTGGTTTGGAATATGAGTCGTATAAATAGTTACGTTCTATATTTAAATCATGACTGTCAATGCTAACGTGATGTATTATATTTATATTCTATATTTTGAATCATCACTATTCACTAGCAATGCAATATGATATGGTGTATGATATTAACTAGCAATGCAATGCAATAGTACGCTCGAATACGATTGGTTATTTTGAATGGATACAGATGTAAGTGGTATCCTTTAAAGAAAATGAATTAAAGGAGACATATATAATCATCATTTGTGTGAGTAAAAGTGGTTCATTGTTTCTAATTACGGCGAATAAATTTTATATTTCACGTGGAACGTCGCCACTGGTTACTAATACTAACAGCAAATCATCCTGCAACGTTGCTTTATTTCTTGTGATCGTTCTTTAAACTCCTTTAGCCATAATGTCATTCTTGGCTCCGTATGCAAAAAGAATATACACGAAATAAAAGCCCCTTTTTAAACTTTGACTATAATAAAACAAATTTATCACAACATATAATATTATATATATTCGATTATAACATCTGTTTACGATGTTATAACAAAACAAAATCGATGTATGTATGCCTTCGTTTTTGTTATATTTGCAATAATAGCTCGTTAAACACGCACAAATCTACATCTTGCCTTGAAATGGTTCATGGCGAAAGTGCCCATGCATGCAACAAAAATGCTGATTGCCGATCGATCCAATCAAACCCCTCATATCATGGTTTTGCCTCCCTTCCCCTCTCTCTCCCTCTTTTGCTTAAACAATATAAATACATTGATCGGTTTTTGTGCCCTAATTAGGCATGTGTTTGACCATTATTCACATATATATATATAGTTCTCGTCATGGGTTCGTCGTAGTATGACATGTTGATCAACGTGACTAACTCTGATCTCAGATCATTTGGGGTTTAACTTCATATCAAACATGAAGTATATGTACATATGGATGGTAACCACGTATGCATATTATCTTCTATATGCATATATGTGCTATATAATTTGACAGCATTGTATGTGAATATACACACACATACGTATATATATATTTGTATATGTGGAGGGAAATAAAATAGAAGTGAGAATGGTTGTAGGGCATTCGAAGGAACTGTGTGTGGAGGACAAAGCATGCCCAAAGGACCCCCCAAATGCACACTGCACGCTCGACATCTCATGGTCCCACACTTGCCTTTTTTTCTTCTTAATTTCATTCATTTTATTATCTCCAATAAATATATACCTATTAATCAGCCCTACAGGTCTATAAACAAATAAAATATCAAACTAATGTTCCTTTCTACTTTTTGTTTTTCTATTTCTTATTCTATTTTTTGTATTTTTAAAATTTTTAGTTAAATTTTTTTAAAAAAATATAGAAGAACCATATAAAACACACCCACCACTCGAAGCAATGCAGTTTAGTTAACAAGTATATATAAATATATATGTTTTATTTATATTATCATCGATCGATCGATTTATATGTATGAAAAGCTAGCTAGTACATATATGTATATATATTGTGTAGTTATAATATGAATATCGTAATAAGCAGCGACGTACCACCAACAATCGTCGCTTCGTCGCTTCAGCTCCTTCCCCAAACTGCAAGAGTAATATTAATTAATCGAACACGCAAATCCCAATCTCGCAGTCGGAGCTAGAACTCAGTAACCCATTGATGAACATGTTCTCTTCATCTCTCTCGCTCTCCATTAAAGACGTAGCCATCGTCCCCATCTCATTTTTGTCAATATGATCGCTGTTGCTTTCGATATCGTTTCCTCGATTCTGAACTCCAAATCCCGAGATTCCGTCTGATTCTTGGCTCATGAGCTGAGATGCAACAAATTTATCAAGTGTTCTCCAATCAGCAGTCACTTGCTCCTCCTCCTTCTTCCTCTTGTTCTTATCGTTAATTAGAGCGTTGAAGCTGCCGTCCATGTCTTCTCGGCTTTTGTAGCTACTATGGTCTGATGTTACAGACATTGAGCTCGCCGGCCTTTTCACCAGAGGGGGTGAAGGGCTCTGAAGCTGAGGGAGCTCGATGAACTGGTCGTTCTTGATCGTGAAGTTTGGACCGTCGGCCGATCTTTCTAGTTCTTGCTTGCACATGAAACTCTGTCCTAAAAGATTTTGTTGCCGATTGGATATGCATATGTGGTGAATTGGATCCATCCCTCCGCTTGTTACATCGCCGTAGAAGTAACTTGTGCCCCAAGTTTCCATGTTCTTGGCTTGCCCATTTGCCTTCTTCTTGAATGCTCTGCAGACCACCCACCCTTCTTCCTACAATGTAGATTAACACAAAATTATCATAGTTCCAATAGTAAAAAAAAAAATTCCTCCTACTTATATGTTGGGTTTTTTTATGATAAAAACTTATATGTTGGTTATAGAATAGTTATCTGATTTTATCAAAAATAATATTTATTTGATGATAAAATGTTATATATTAGGAAGGTCAACTTGTTTCTTCATAGTTCCTACATAGGTTCAAACACAATGAAGAGAAATGGAATTTCACTTTTGAGACATTACAAAGCCGTTCCTTTAAAGTTCGAGACCACAAAAAAAGATAGCTATATGTGCATGCTATAGTTTCTTTATAATGATAAAAAAAAAAAAAACTTTTTGACTTTGAGAACTTTATAATGGTAAACATTCATGTGGGGAGGGAAAAAAATCGATATAAGAGTTCATCGTAGATCTAACAAGAGAAGAGACCGAAAGTAACACACACATGACTGACATTTTATCCACTCTTAACAATATATTATAATATATAATATGTAGTACAAGTGAATAATACCTTTTACTTTTATGTGTTTGGACATTTTACATTATGCCTTGAAGGCGTACGACGACTTTTGCCTAAAAGTTAGCAAGTGTCGACTGCAAGACAAAGAACCCTAATTACAAGAAAAGTGTCTTGTCCCCTTTGAAGAGGAAAACTGTTACCCCATGGAAGTTTCCATTCCACTACTGAAAATACCAGAATAAACACATAATATTTCAAGCATTTTTTTTTTAAATATAGAGCATTGTTTCATATGAAATGTACCTGAGGGGGTGCGTTCTCGTCGGACTCAGAGTTCATCGTAGATCTAACAAGAGAAGAGACCGAAAGTAACACACACATGACTGACATTTTATCCACTCTTAACAATATATTATAATATATAATATGTAGTACAAGTGAATAATACCTTTTACTTTTATGTGTTTGGACATTTTACATTATGCCTTGAAGGCGTACGACGACTTTTGCCTAAAAGTTAGCAAGTGTCGACTGCAAGACAAAGAACCCTAATTACAAGAAAAGTGTCTTGTCCCCTTTGAAGAGGAAAACTGTTACCCCATGGAAGTTTCCATTCCACTACTGAAAATACCAGAATAAACACATAATATTTCAAGCATTTTTTTTTTAAATATAGAGCATTGTTTCATATGAAATGTACCTGAGGGGGTGCGTTCTCGGCGGGCGGGAGCCGATACTCATGCATGATCCAATCGGTCTTCTGGCCGTTTGGGGCTCGTCCTCTGTAGAACACGAGGGTTTTCCTCATTCCGATGAGTTTAGTTTTGTCGTAAACAGTCTTGTCTCGACCGGTGGCTTTCCAGAATCCAGCCATCGTAGCTCTGTTAGTCCTCGTCCCCGTCGGATACTTCTTGTCCTTGTGGCTGAAGAAGTACCATTCGTTTTGTTCCTCGTACCCAATCCTGCATCTCTCTGCATGCCCATCATCACAGAATTCAATCCATTCTCATCAGATCTAATGCTACATACACATACATACATACATACATACATACATACATACATACATACATACATACATACATACATACACACACACATATATATATATATATATCGATCAAAGCCGAGCTTATAGATTCTTTATCATAATAACAAAGGGCGAGAAACCCTAATTGAATTACTTTGATATATACTTACTGATTAATTAGAACGCGAATAATTTGATGGAAGAAACATAACTGGGTTTTACCTTGTAGATCCCATGGTTCGATTCTGTAGAGATCGATGTCTCTGATAACGTCAAGGTCGATCTTTTGCGATGCGACTTTTTTCCTTAGATAGTATCCCACTAGCTCTTCGTCCGTAGGATGGAACCTGAATCCAGGAGGAACACTGCATGACTCCATTGATTCCAACTTTTCTGCAACCAAGTTCCATAAACAATCGTTAGTGTATATATATATATTTATGTATATGCATGCGGATTATCTCATGAGATAGTAACCTTAATTTCCTCTCTCTAAAAACAAAATGAAGCTGAAATTATGTAGGTTGATGGATTTGACGAGGAACATGCATATGAGAGCGGATAAAAAAGTAATGTGAAAAGAAAATTGAAATGGGAAAAGGAAGAAGTAATAATCATCATTAATCAAGCCGATAGGCGCGACAAATGCTTCGAGCTATAATCATCATCTCATTTTGTGGTGAGTTACCACTCGTTTTTCCACCTCTTAGCTACACACTTGTGGTTCATCCATCATTCACATATACATATATAGACATACACATACATGAATATATATATATATATATATATATATACGTGCATAGATACATATATACACATACTTTGGTATAAGGGTTTGCAGTGGAAGAGAAGAAGATCAGAGAAAAAAAAAGATGGAAAAGGTAGCAAGAACATGAGAGTTAGGTTTTTCTTGAAGGCATGAGAGAGATGACAACGGAGCTTCTGTCAGGAACAGATACTCCAAGAAACGGACATGTAGAGTTCTGAGCTAATGATGTTGTCTTTTGGGTGTAGTGAATGATGGAAATGATGCATCAAGAACGGGGTTTATATTTCCCACATTAATTTATTATTAACTACAATTCACAATATAATTAATCATTGCTTACATTAACACTACGTATGTATAGCCCTTACGGTATACAAACAAAAACAGCTTTTCCACAAACCCCCCAAAAACC